GGTGTGTGGGAAATAAAAGCAATTTTGGCTTCACCAGGGCTGGGGGGGAGAAAGGAAAGTGGTTCTTCTGGTGGTGTCACAGCCAACACTGAAGGTGGGATGGAGCAAAGAGGAGCTCTGAGGTGCTGGAGCACTAGGGTAAGGGAATATCAGCTTCTGATCCCAAAATGGAAAGAGGGTTTGTGTTTTCTTGATGCTACTCTGCTGTCAGACTTCAGGCACAGCCAACTCCATTTTGATGGAAGCTTTTAGCAGCACTTGGCTCCCTTAGTGCTCAAATCTCACACATAAAGGTGGCAATGCTGCTTTTGCTCCATGCCCTGCTCTCCACAGGCAGATTATACATCGGGATGGGGCTGTTGCCTTTTATGAGGTAAAAGGACACTCAGTACTGTGCAAAAGGCAAAGCAGGGAAGAAAATCCCCTGGCTTGCACATCTGCTGGTGTGTGATGGGTATTTCCTACTCACTCACACCAAGGAGGTTCACAGCACCCCCTTACAAACTCCTCACGGCTCTCTGTGAGAAAGAGGAGTGTCCTGCCTCCTGCTTTGGCAGCAACAAAGCACAGGAAAGCCAAAAGGGGCCAAAATCCTTCCATCTTCACAGACCCTGGGGCAGGGAATATGCTCAGTGTACTGAGATACAGGTGGGAGGAAAATCCCAGGAAGAAGGACATTTCTCCTCAATTAGCACCTTGGGAATCTCTGGCTTCAGGGGTGAAGCACACAAAGCTGAGAGCAGGTCTTGACCCTCAGAGCTAAACATGCTTGTCTCCATATTCTGTTCCTTCTCCCGGGAAGCTCCAAGGATATATCTGCTGGCAGACAAGATTAATTAGATTTGAAAAGTGCTCAAACTCTCCCAGCAGAAAACTTACAAATGGGTCCAGGGGTGCTCTGGCTGCTGACAGTGCCACAAATGCCTGGCTTGGCCACAGACAGGATGCAAAGTGTAAAAAAAACATGGAATAAGCTGCTCCCTGTTGTAACAACCCCTGTAATTCCTGCCTCCTCCTCCTCCTCCAGCAGGTTGTACACGGACGGGCTGATCTGGGCTCTGGGGATGAAGTTCGCTGTCGATGAGATCAACAATTCCACCTCCCTCCTGCCAGGGGTGACACTGGGCTATGACATATATGACAGCTGCTTTGAGCCCCTGGTGGCCCTGCAGGCCAGCCTGATGTTCCTGACCCGGAATGACACCACAGGCCTTGGAATTCTGTGCGACTCCACCGACTGCCAGCCCCGCGTGACCGCCGTGATCGGGCCCCACAAGTCAGATCTCTCTCTGGTGACAGCCAAACTGTTCAGCACCTTCTTCATCCCACAGGTAAAGAACCTCTCTGGAGAAGCAGGAATCCTCCTTTCTGGTGGGGAAGGGTTTGGATAGACAGCGTTGTCCATGCTCTGGGAACATGGATTGTTAAAGTGCAGTTCCCGTCTTTCCTCTGCCACAGGCTTCCTGAGTGATCTTGGGTAGGTCAGTCAAATTCCCTCCTGGAGACACTACAGTGTTTAACCACCCAGAGAGAACAGGGACAACTCAGACCACTGTGATCCATGTAAAATGGGAATAACAGAGCTCCCAGTGTAAACTGGGAGAATCTCACTAAAATACTTGACTACACATGAGAAAACATGACTAAATACTCAGTTACCACAACAGAGGGCTCTAATGGTCGGGGAAATTTAGCCCTGAGCTAAGATATAACTGAATTTTGGGGGTGTCACCCTGTGTAGAAAGCAGCCAATTATCACTGTCATTAATGATAAGGGCTGGTGCTCTGCTGACGGACACAAGTGGCAGTGGAAGGAGACAGTAAATGCAGCCAAGATGGATCAGTTCTTCCCACTCTACTGACCAGCATTTTTGAAACCTTAGGGCATTAACACTAAGAAAGGAAGGTGGAGAATGACCTGGACATCCCTCTTTGCCTCCCTCTGTTCCTCCCATCCTGCAGGTGAGCTATGGAGCCACCAGTGAGAAGCTCAGCAACCCCGAGCTGTTCCCGTCCTTCTACCGCACTCTCCCCGGTGACAAGAACGTGGTGGAAGCTGTGGTCCAGCTCCTCAACAGGTTTGGGTGGAACTGGATTGGCACCATTGCAAGTGATGATGAGTATGGCCAAGGAGCCCAGGAACTCTTCTTAAGCACAGCTGGAAATAACAACATCTGCATTGCCTTTGAGGGCCTAATTCCTATAGACGTGACCGAGCCCAGTGACAAAAAACAACTGGAAGAGACCATTAACTTAATTAATAGGACCAAAGTCAACATCATTGTCCTTTTTACCTATACACTGTCAGCCCAGGCCCTGCTGGAACAAGCCGTCAAGATGGGACTGGGCAAGAAAGTCTGGATTGGCAGCCAAGCCTGGATGCTGTCTGACCTACCTACCTCCATCCCAAATATTCAGAGCATTGGGACAGTCTTAGGCTTTGTGACAAAAACAGGCACAGTCCCTGGCTTCCAGCAGTATGTTGCTGACCTCTTTACCTCTGTTCAGCAGGATGAATTTTGCCAGCAGTCCAGAGAACTCAACCAGCTCATGAGCACCAACGTGCTGGACCTGCAATGCCAGGAGTGTGACAACATCTCCCTGGGGGACCTCTCCTTCCTGCTGGGCATCACCCAGGTGCAGCCTGTGCACATGGCTGTGTACAGCGTGGCCTATGCTCTGCACAGAGCCCTGGGGTGCACTCCCAAAGCCTGTCCCAAAACACCCATCAGAGCCTGGCAGGTGAGTAAAGGCCGGGGGGACAAACAGCCGCTTTTCATCATAACACAGCCAGACAGTCCCAACCTGAGCCCTTGTTGAGGGACAAGTGATTTCAGCCAGAAACCTGCTTGCGGCCTTATCATCCTCCAAACATCAGCTGTACCAACCCCAATTTCCATTCTCTCCTCAGCTGCTGTACTACATGGACACTCTCCCATTCGAGGTGAACGGCCAGAGCTACAGGTTTGATCAGTACCACAGCACAAACACTGGCTACAAGCTCATACTGTGGTCCTGGAAGAATGGCATCCTTAGGTACCTGTCCGTAGGTGACTATAAAGAGTCCCTGCACATCGAGGAGTCCCAGATCCAGTTTCACACTCCAGATCAAAAGGTAAAGATGGCCCAGCCAATTCCTTCTGATTTCTTTGGTGATATAATTCTCCTGGAAGTGCCTGGCTGATGTTCACTCCTCCCTTTGCCAGGCGCCCACATCAGAGTGCTTCAAGCACTGCAAACCAGGACAAGTCAGAAGGGTAAAAGGATTCAACCTCTGCTGCTATGACTGCACAGACTGTCCAGAAAACACCTTCTGGAACAGTAAAGGTGAGGTCTGAGAAATCTGAAGGCTTTAACTGTATTATGTCCATCTGCTGGTTGAGGTAACAACCAGTGGTGAGCTCTTCCTCCACGAAGCACTGCCAGTGCAGGGGATTTGCCTCCCTGTTCTGCTGTGCTTTGCTCAGTCTTGCCCTAGAAATCTTCCCTGGGGACCTTCCTCTGCTGAGCCCAGAGGGATTGCATGAGGACAACGTGTATGTAATTTACCTCAAGAGGTAGGAGAGAGGGCTATGATGAAATTCTGGGGTCACAGGTGGGAGAGAAAGGCATATGATGAAATTCTGGGATCTTTTGGAAGCTTTCTGGGGAAGGGAAACAAGAGCCAAGAAAAGAGAGTCCTTTGAGGAGAAGGGTGGGAAAAAAAAAAAAAAAAAGAGAGTGAACTGTCACAAGCTTTGGAGTTCCAAGACACTTTGGAGGCAGGGACATCCTAACCCACATCTGTGATCCATCCTGAAGGGCTGGGTGGTCATCATGCCCTCACTGCTCCTTCCCAGACAGCTCCAGCTGCACCCCCTGCCTGCAGCAGCAGTGGGCCCCTGCCCAGAGCACGCAGTGCTACGAGCGCAGCGAGAGGTTCCTCTTCTGGGACGAGCCCCTCACCATTGCCCTGCTGGCCCTGATGTCCATCACCATCCTCCTGACCTGCCTGACAGCTCTGCTCCTCCTGAGGAACCTGCAGACCCCCCTGGTGCAGGCTGCTGGGGCCGAGAGGAGCCTCTTTGCCCTGCTGTGCCTGGCGCTGCTGAGCCTCAGCTGCTGCCTCTATGTGGGGAAGCCCAGTGACATCCACTGTGCCATGCAGGAGGTGGTCCACGCCCTGTGCCTCAACGGCTGCTTCTCCACCTTCTTCATCAAGACCCTGGAGATCACCCTGGTGACAGAGTTCCCCCACTGTGCCCCCTCCCTGCTGCGCTGGGTGACCCACAGGAGGTCCTGGCTCCTCATTGCCTTGTGCCTGCTCGTCCAGGGCTTGCTCTGCCTCTGCCACCTCTACCTGGGCCCTGCCTACCTGGGCCCTGACTACAAATCCCTGCCCTCCGAGGTGCTGCTGGTGTGTAGCACCAAGTCCTGGGCAGCCTTTGCCCTCCTGCACGGCCTCAATGCCTGCCTGGCCCTCCTGTGCTTCCTGGGCACCTTCATGGTGCAAACGTTGGGCAAGAAGTACAACCTTGCCAGGGGCATCACCTTTGCCATCCTCATCTACTTCATCGTCTGGATCTTCTTTGTGGCCATCTTTGCCACGCTGGGGACAGTCCTCAGGCCTGTCACTCAGATTGCCACCATCCTGATCATCAGCCTGGGCATCCTGGTGACCAACTACGCCCCCAAATGCTACATCATCTTGTTCAAGCCCGAGATGAACACGGTGGATTGTTTCCAGAATTCCATCCAAGAGGAGCCAGAGGAGGACTCAGCAAACAAACAATAAGCCAGACCCATTGTCACCTGCTCCTCAGTAAAAGCTGGCTGTATTTTAATGAGATAATTCTGTTTATGAGCACTCTCTGGCCCCGGGCACAACCACCAGCTGTGAAAGCACAGGGCTCTGCTCAACCAGCTAAAGCCAAATGCTCCAGAGGAGCAGATCCATCCTCTCTGGAATGGCCTGTTCCATCCCCCACAAACAGCCAAAAGCAGGTTCAGTTAATCAACCAACCTCCAGCAGTAATATTTTATATGAATCTCTCTCTCAGCTCTGGCAATGTGAGCAGGAAGCCTCACCCAGAACACTTCCCTGTAAACACTGCTGGTGATTTCCCCTTCTAATTAACTAAATAACTGCTCCAGAGGTAAAGCCATGAATCCTTTCCCAAGCCTTAGAAGAATTTTCAAATATATCCAACACCAGAGGAATAAAAAGAACATTCTGATAAGTAACAGCAGCTGTGTGCATGATATAAAGAGAGCATTACCCATTCAAATTGCAGCTCACTCATTTGTGTTTCGTTCACATGGGTTTGCAAAGGACATGGAAATCAGGCCCAGGCACATGGAAATGAGCAGTGTGCAGATCACACCACCCCAAGCCATGGCACAAAGTTCCTCCACCCCAAAAACCACGCAAAGATCACCAAAAACTCCACATTGCTGCCAAACAGTACCAAGTCAATACCAAGTCACATCACCAAGACCTTTTCTCTTCCCCACCCACTTTAACAAGCAACTATATTAGTCCTTTATTCCCTACATTAAAGTTTTTCCATTACTGCCCTTTTATTCCCTATATTAAAGTTTTTCCATCTCTCCATCGGGTGCTGTTGCAAATTAACTCATCAGTTCAGCTCAATTAAAGAACTGGCAAATTAATCTAAACCAGGAAATACTTTCATTCTTTAAAAAAAAAGTAAAAAAAAAAGAACTTTCTGGTGCACTGCAGAGCTACTTGTCCTAGATTTTTGTGAACACCTGCATACAGAAATACTCCTCAGTGTGATTAAAAATACCAAAACTCTGACCTGAAGCCTGGAGTCCTTGCTCCTGGAGCCTGCAGCAAGTCTTCATGAAGATGTTGTTGCACCTGAGCCTCTCAGTATTCCTTGCTCCAGGGCTGTGATTCCATAGCAGAGAAGCCTTAAGTAGCTTTTGATCATCATCATTCCAGAAATAGAGAAGGAAAAAAAAATATCCATTTACCTTTATTGGCAGCAGCCAGAAAGCCAACTCTGATCACAACCAGAGCCATGACAGGCTGAGTTTTCTTTCAGGGGAAGAGGGAGGGAAAAGCAGCTGATGAGACTTTTCAACCAGCTCCAGTCACCTGCAGACAACTCACTCTGGGTCAGCTGGGGCCCATCAGGCCCTGCAGTCAAAGGCTGCAAGAGCATGTCCAAAATTCTGATCATTCAATATTCACCTGAATTTGGACGATTTAATATTCACCTAAATTCTGATTGTTTGATATTCACCTCACTGGGAAATGCTGGCTAAAATTTGTGGTATTTAAACAGTGTTTGACCCTCCCTTTGCTCTCTGATCTCTGCCAGCTGGGAAGAGGGAATCTGCCTCCTCAAGCTGGGGTTGTCCTTTGTATATGGAATGATTTAGGATGGAAAAGACTTTTAAATCATTTGAGTCCAACTGAACCCCTCAGACCCTGCAGGGAGCCTGGTAATAGATGACAAACAGCCTGTGGTTTAATGCTTACCAGAGAGTAAAGTGGTGTCCTAATGATCCTACCTTGGAGAGTCCAGAAATGGGGAATATTCCCACGGAACAGCTGAATACACTGATGGGTTTTAGCAGCACATTCAAGTCCTGGGGCTGCAGGCAGGACAACTTGTTCCAGCTCATGTCTGGGGAACAGGGGTTTTTCCTCCAGCTCTCTGGAGCCCTCACAAAACTCCCCCCTGCCTACCAGCACCTCCTGAATCTTCTTGAGAGGACAAAACTTCAGTGTGACATGGGGGAAAAAAAATAAGAGGAACATTCAACCAGCATTTCATCAATGTTGACTAAAAAATAAAATGCAACAGTGCAAAGAACTGAAGACGTACACCGAGGTTATCACATAAAATTAAAAGCTTTTTAGTGTTTAAAATAGCATTTACACATAAGCAGCTATATATTAACTATACAGACACTTGGGTTTTAATACAATATCTACAAAAAAGAATTCAATTATGCAATAGACATTTAACAGGAACAGTGCAGTCCATGCTAATAAGAGGTCACTCTTTGAGTAGAACCAATTCTAGGATAGGTGATAGTCTGGATTTTCATTATTTAAAATCATGTAACTTTGTTCCTCTACTGTACATAAAATTCTTTACATGTATTTCTAATCACTGATTAGAATTAATAATTTTAAGTCAATCTTATTACAATCCAGTTAAATGCAAAAAACAAAAACAATTACATCAACTCATGAGCTGTCAAGTCTCAGGAGGGGACTGCCCATTTGAAGAGAACAAAAATAATAGCAAAAGTCAATGTCTGTGCATCATTGCTTGCCATCCAATAAACCTTTGGATAAAGTGTCCAGGGGACTGTTACCTTGGAAAAAGGAGATTTATTAATAGGAGGTAAAAGACAATAGCAGTGCTTTTAAGACTTATTTGCCAAAAACTCCTCAGAGTTAATATAGCAGGTGGATACACTCCCCCTACAGATCCTGCCTCCTTTGGGGAGGAGATGTCATCCCAAACTGTTTCCTCATCATTTTCCATGATCCTCCAGACAAACCTGCTGTTAAATCTGTTGGCAGGGACGTGTGAGCCTTAAGCTCAGTCGAGGGTCTCACTCCCAGAATAAAAATGTCAGCCACTGAAGGCTCCTGATTTGAGGTTGTTTCAATGCCCTGCACAGCAAACCCCTCGCTGGAGTTGGAGCCCAGTCACTGACATTAAATCAGGGATAAATCTGAGGCCCTAGAGAGAGAAAACAGATGGATCTGCAGCACTCCAGCCTGCAAACTTCCTTCCACCTGGCACAGCAGGGAATGCTGTGCCCAACAGGAGACACTGGCACAGGCAGGTCCTGAGGCCCCCCTTGGTGGAAAGACACATGAGCATGCACTGAAAGCCAAGGATGGGATCTGGGAAATCTCCTGTCTCTTGTGAAAATCTAGCAAAGATTCAGGCCTGACCTTCCACTCACTCCACCCTCTCCACTGGACACTACAGGGGGGGGATCAGGGGTTTGTTTTACACACAGTGGCCATCACGTATTGCACTGTCCACACAGGGGCATCTCCACCCTCCTGCTCTCCCTGCAAACAGCAGGTTCCTCAAGGACCAGCACCCAGCACACCCAGAGCAGTGGATGCCTGTTGTGGGTGAAGCTGCTTCAGCCTGAATTCCTCAGCAGACTAATGCTTTCCCACACCCGGTTATGGATTTGCAGCCTCATTCCAGAGTGACCCACGAACACACAAGTTTATAACACAGTCATTTCAACATAGCAGCAAAGACCAGCAAGACACAGAACAGTTTCTGCCAACAGCATTAACAACAAGACCAAAAAAACAAACAAACAAAAAAAAACACAAACAAAAAACAACCCAGCAGGTGTGTAAACTGCAACTCTTGGAAAGACATAAGGAAATAAAACACGTTTCTTCCACGGGTGAAAGCTCAGCCCCCAGCTTTAATCCCTTTTGGAAATATTAAAATGAGAGTCTTTTCCTCCAGCCCTCCAAGTTCTGCCTTAAGACAGAGTGGGCCAGAAAAATCAATATATATAAGAGACCAGAAAAGTTTTAAATTAATTTAAAAGTAGAACCACTAGTGATTGTCAGTAAAGTCACAGACTCCTTAACAGTGTCTCCTGGAGACATAGCAGAATTACACCATTATTTTACCCTGATTTACTCCATTGCTTTCAATGTCAATCTTTCAGAATAGGTTACCAGGTTAGGGTAAGCATCTTTGCTGTGGAATTGGGAGGAGGAAAGGAAAAGAAAGGTACTGTTTGCACAGTCAAGCTCCAGGTAGTGCCACTCTTTTGGAGAAGCCACATCAGCCACGTGGCAATCCATGCCAGCCCATGGGATGGAGGATGATGAAAGCACTGCTTTCAGAGACATTAGGCAGCTTTTTGGGAGGTTTCTGTAAAGAAAACTAGTTTAGAAGGCCAGGAAGGGGAGTACCTAGTCTGAGTGACACAGAGTTTCCCAAATGCCTGGTTCCCTTTTGAAGGAGAGACTCAAGTCTCCAGTTAACACAGACATTTGGAGCTTTGGCTGGAATCGTTACTCTGGCTCTGACAAAGGGATGTGTTTGCACACAGACCTGGAACAGGGAAAGAACTGAAAAATCTATCAGCATGAACAACACCCAAAATGTCTGAAGAGTCGTTTTTCGGGGTGACAAATGGACATGGAACTGTGTGTATCCTGAGGAAGATGTTCTCTTTTGGCCTTCATCTCGGGCATTCACGCTACCCACAGAGCACGGGACGAACCAAAAAGCAGCTTCTTACCAGTGAGAAAAATGCTTATATACAGTCAAGACTGATCTTAAAGCACCTGTCCTAAAACCTGCCAGCAGCAGGCACCTCAGAAAGGAGGATTTAACTGAGGCATGGCCCTGTGGCCAAATGCCACTAAGTGGCTGCAGCTCCCCACGTGTGTCCCATCACATGAGGCACCGTGACAGAGTGTGGGTGTGCTCTCACCATACCCTCCTTCTGACACCTTAAAAAAAAGCTTCTTACACACCACTGGAGGCTCCTGAACCTGCTTTATCAAGTGCCCACAGCCCCAGAGCAGGAACCACACAGAAATGAAACCTTGGGGATGTACAACAGCAGTTGCTTCAGTCAGGTCTCCTCAGCAGAGAGGGTCCCGCTCGGTGTCAGGTGTAAGGATTCGTTCACTTTACCATTTGGGATCAGCCCTCAAAACACCCTCACACCTCTCTGCCAACAGCCAGCCCCTCTCTGTGCTCAGAAACGTTCCCCTGGGACTGCAAGAGGGATTAGACAGCTCCAGGTTTCCATTTCAACAAAAAAAGAAAGGTACTGCTCCGAAACGAAGGACAGAACAACAGGTGATCAAAATGAAATCAAAGTGAAGAGCCACGTCCCAGTGGGAGCCAGGATTTAGCTGGAATGGGATGAATATCCCCTTGGAAAGGGAAAAGCTGCAGCTACACTAACAGAACTGCACGGCAGCAGCTGTCCTATTTCTGTGGAAATAACTTTTCCAAGCAAGTGCACATCCAGCAGGAACAGCCACATCTGTCAGCAGGGGTGGGACTGGAATGCCCAGGAACCGACTGCAGCTACAAAGTCACTATTGTGGTACTGAAGGAAACAACTTGACAAGTTCTGCACAATGAGCACATACAGTAGCAAGACTCCAGCACTCCCTTGACAGAATAATATCTAAAAAAAAACAACCAAAAAAAAAAAAAAAGAAAAAGAAAAAAAAAAAGAAAGAAAGGTTGATTTATACTCCCTAGTCAGCAGAAGGTAGCCACAACTTTGTTTTCCACTTGGGTTGATCCTGCTCCTTTCCAAGCACGTGCTGTCTGTACACTTGTGGGTGCAATGTCTGCTCAGTGCTATGGATGCATCCAAGAAACAGCATTCCAAGGCAGTATCACAGATACCAGCCAAGGGTCGTTTTTTTTCCTTGTAAGAGAAAAAAAAAAAAAGCAGGGAAAAATAAAAGTGCTCCTATGCAATATCGGGAATTTAGAAGTCGTGTGAAATAAGAGTCCTTGAATCAGCCAAAAAGATACACCAGTTGCATCGAAGCAGGTGCCACAATGACCAAAGCTCATTAAGATGTGAATATACACCAGCCATTCACAATCCAAAACAAGAGGAGGGGGGAGGGAAAAAAAAAAGGATAAAGAAAAGATGCCATCGGTTTGCTGATATTTAACAATCCCAGGAGATTTTTTTTTTTTTTGTTCATTTTTGCGGAGGGAATTTTTTTTTTTTTGTATTTTTCGCTCGGTTTTCTTGATATATTTTTCTTTTTTTTTACTGCAACACACTTTGCAAACAGGAAGGTGTGACATGCAAGACCAGCCAAGTCTCTTCCATTAAGTGTTCGACAACAAACCACCCCAAAAAAAAAAACCAACCCACCCCAACCCCTCCCCACCCCAACCCAGGCAGAGTCTGAAGGCACTTCCTCTCACATGATGTCTACGAAGAACTCACAAGGGTTGCCCATGGCCTTCTGGAAGGACTGGCGGCTCCCGGTGAGCTCCGGGGGGACCGCGCTCAGTTCCCGCACGGGAGGCCCTCCGGGGGGGCCGCTGGTCCCGTAGACTTTGGAGCCCAGCTTGGGGAGGCTGTAGAGCGGGGGCACCCCCGGGGGCCCCCCGTAGGAGTGGTGGCTGTGGTGGCTTCTGTCGCTGTGGGCGGCGGAGCCGTGGCTGCGGTGGCTGAGCTGGCTGGCGGGCCGGTCCCGGCGCGCGGTGCTGCCGCCGCTCCGCGCCGTGTGCTCCGACTCGCTGCCACTGCCCCCCGACTTGCGGTCCTTCTCCCTGCCCACAGCTCGCCTGCTGTTCTCGCTGGTGCTCCGGTTCGAGCCGCTGCTTTTGCTTCCTGCAACCCCACGAGGGGGGGGAAAAAAAAGCAGAGAAAAGTAAAGTTAGGCCGCCGTCCGCTCCCGGCTCCCGCGGCGGATCCGCGTGGGACCAATGGCCGTGGCGAGGGCTGAGCGTGCCGGTGGTGGCTCGTGGGGTTTGGCAATGAGGGGCAGTGGGACGAAGCTGACAGGGTTGTGCCATGCACAGGGACACGGAGACACCTCAGAGCTCGCACAGTGAAAGCAGCAGCTAAAGAACAGCTCCTGGCTGGAACCCACCCGTCCCACCGAGGAGGAGCAGGATTTGGGGTTAGACTCAAGCAAATGAGGTTCAGTCTGTAACTGTCTCTGCTTTGGTACCTTCTGCCTTTTCCAAAAGAAACTCCTTTGCCTTCTCTGTCATCCTTGGCCTCACTGGGCACACTCGCACCCAGGGCCAAATCTCTGAGGTTTTGTTCGCTTCAGTGGGGAGATTCTTTTCAAATTCACTGCTACAAGTGTTCTGTTGTTGGAGAATTCTTTAAACAACAGTTACCTGTTGAACTGCTCTACAGTAACATGCAGGATGTTCCCAGAAGAGGCCACTAAATCAGTTCGGGAAGAAAGTGTTGCCACTGGACTGTCAGCTGAGTAGTTGCTACATACAAACTTCACTAAACTTCAGAATTGATTTTAGATGAAAGTTGAAGGTCTTGCTCTGTTCCCATGAGAGACAGCCTGGGATGATGTCGGGACACAGTCCCAATGGAATTATTTTTTTAGAAAAACCCAACAAATCAACCCAAGGACCATCTCATTAAGTTCATGCCACCTTAGTGCAAAATTTTCCAAAAAAAGATCCCCAACCAGCAGAAGAGGGGATCAGCTTTTGAGTCCAACTGAGCCACTGAAATGGAAAAACCAGAATGATTGTGAACTACAGGTGACCTCCTGCTTGCTCCTGTTGACACAGGAGATGGGAAACCAGACTGGCCTGGTGTGTAACGTCCCCTGCAGAGTGCCAGAGATGGAAAACACAGACTACAAAATCACTGGGCTTTAAGTTATTAGTGTTCTGAGCCCGGGACTCTGAAGTGCTGTTTGCTGACTGTTAGGATGTAACCCTGCTGATAAAGGAGAGGGTTCATAAGAAACCCAACTCTAATATTCCACCCTGAGAGTGACCAACACAGCCCTGTGTCCCTGCACTCTCAGCACCTGCCTGAGACATCTGGCCACCAAGTAAATGAGCAGTGGTAGATAAATCCAACCCACATGGGTGACATCAGACTCAGAAATCAGGAGCAGGGACTATTTGCTTATTTTATGAGGAGAAGTGGGGAGCCTGGTGACACCTGACAGTGAGGGACGTGGTGCCACCCCCTCTGAGCTGCTGCAGCACAGTCACACAGGGGCCACACAGGTTGATATGCCAATGTCACACTACTGCACTGCCGTGCACTGAGACAGGTCGAGCGTCCAAGACAATCAAAAAGAAAATAAAAATCAAAATAATAATAAAAAAAATAAAAATACAGCTAAACATTTGGGTCACGAGAGTCTAAATGGTCATGCTGTGGATTTGTTATGGAGGCATTTGAAGCTTACCAATCCCCTAGAGTCAGCCATTCCTCTAGGAATCCTTCAGTCTAATGCTTGCTCAGGACAAAACAAGGGAATAACAGTTACAAGCCAAGAAACAACACAAGAAGTGTAGTTTCCAAAAGAAGAACAAGGAAAAGCGTCGAAACCTTTCAAAAATCAAACACCTTGGCACCTTTTGTGAGGCTCTCTATAGCCAGGGGACCCAGCATGGATAAAACACCATTCCTTTCCTATTCCAGCAGCAGAACAAATTCCTTCTGCCCACAGAATCAGCTGCCAAAAAGCACCCCCAACATTCTTTGCAGTGCAATCAGTTCTAAAGCCTCTGGATACCACTGTGAGCTTCCTCACAGCAGAAATTCTTATTCTGAGATAAGGTGAGAAGCCACAGTGCTCAAATCTCGTGAGGAAGCTCCTGTTACAAAATTATTTGTGCAGTTTTTGTGAGATCTAACTGGCTGTGGCAAACAGGGATAAGTTACATCCCAGTTACTGGATGTTCACCATAAAAACACAGAGAAACCTCGCCCTTTCTTTACTGGCAGCATTTCCAAAAGCAAAACTCACTCTGGAAGTGATTTTTTTTTTAAAAAAAGAAATTAAAAAATAATATCTTTACAGTCGAAAATACATAATTTTTGTTTACTAAGGTAAAGGATGAACCACAAAATTATGCTAGGGCAGGAAAGGAGGAGGTCAGGTCTTTAATCCATGCAGTATTCTCTTTTTTTCCCTGTCACATATGACAGAAGGGACTCTCCTCCCTGTGAGCAGTGTTTCAGCCCTGTAAACCTCTGGCTGGCCACCTCCCTCTTGTGTGTCTCACACAAGCCAAGAATGCGATTTTCCTTTTGTGCTGAGTACTGAAGTGAAAGCCAAGAGCACCTTGTTCTAATCCCTGTTCCATCAGCAAAGAAATGGCCTCATTTCCAACATCATCAGCCCCAGCGCTGGCAATTCCTGACTGGGATAAAACAAGGCTGGCAGTTCCCATACAGAGCTGAAAGCCCACTCCACCACTGACACACACACCTCTGATCAAGTGCTGTTGCACAAAACCCATGCAGGTAGCAAACAAAACCACAGGACAGGCACAGACAGAACGAAGGAAGGCAAGCAAATGGATCGGGATAATGACAGGCACGGAAATAAAACCCGGATTAACCACCCTACCTTCACTTTGCTGGCTCCCTGCACTGCCACTGCCATAGCTAAAGCCTGGGTCTTGGTATGCTGGTGGAAAACACGGAGGGGGCAGAGGATACTGGTAGGGGTATCCTTGGCCTAACGGCCAGGGAGCAGCAGGATGTGGGAGCGGAGCGAGGGTGTCCTGATCCGAGGCGCCGCTGGAACCGTTGTTGAGGTTCAGTGCAGCCAGGTCTGGAAAAGAGAGAAAGGGTGAAGACTCTGCTCTCACCTGGCAGGGGAGAATTTTACAGCTTGTAAATGGAGTGGCAGGCCTGTGGCATCACCAGAAGTAAATCCTGCCTGCCTGAGCCTCAGTGTAACGCCATTACTTGAAGAGTTTACCCTCTTCTTCCAAGTGCTCTAATTCCTGGTCTGAGGAGGCATCGACCACTTGTCCCACAACTTCAGACTATGAATGACCTGTTCTGGAATACCCAGTTGTGAAACCCCCCAGGACTCACAGAGACCCAGAACAGCCAGGGTTGGAAGGGTTGCAGATCATCTGCCCAGGGTGGGGTCACCTGGAGCAGGCGACACAGGAACACATCCAGGTGGGTCTGGAACGTCTCCAGAGAGGGAGACTCAGAATCACAGAATCAGCTGGGTTGGAAAAGACCTCTGAGACCATCAAGTCCAATCTCTGACCTTGTCAACTCCACGCCCTCCCCGGGCAGCTGCTCCAGTGCTCTGTCACCCTCCATGGAAAGGAAGCTGAGGACACACCTCTGTGCATCCTGTGAGCACAAGGGACACACACACACAGCTCTGCCCTTCCCAGAGGGGAACTTACTGCCACAGAGGTCTCCAAAGACGTAGTAGCACTGCTCTGAGAAGGTGATTTTGTTCACAGTGTGCCTGAGGTAGCCGTGTTTTAACATGCTGCTGGCGTATTTCCTCGCCTCCCGCCGGTCTTTGAAGCCTTCCACGTGCGTGTAAAGCCAGTCAACCACATCTGCTCCTGAAATGACAACAGGGAGAGGAGACACGGGATCATCTGAGCCAAACTGATCCACCACGTGAACGGCGACACCAAATACACGCACAGAAAATTTCATTTACACACATTGTGCAACTCTTTCATGAAAATTACACGGCATTTCCAGGCAAAAAGTGACTGGGAGAGTCATCCTCCTCAAGAGGCAGATGTCAGGTTGTCAAAAGATCTGTGTTTTTGCCTTTCTCAACAAAAAGTAACTGCAGCCTAGTCTGACTAAACGTTAGCACAGCTCAGGCCACAGGTAGAGACAAGCTGTGGTAATTTTAAAATTAATTAAGATGCTTTATTTAAGGCTGGAACTGGAATTCCAAGGACTGTTGCTCTGCTGAGCTTGGGCAGATTGCCAGAGCCACCTGAGCACCTGAGATATAAAACCAAGGATTAAGAACCAGGCTCTGTGTGGGCATGAGAAATGTGCAGCAGTTTTGGCTGTCCAGGCTCAAACAAGAGTTATTAATTATTTCCTGTCACACTCAGAGCTGTTCATAAATAGCAAGTCAAGGGAATTTAAGAGGTCATAGGCAGAAAAATAAAAAGTTCATCTAAAGGTAGTTTCTTGAATTTATTGCCATAAAGTCACCGATTTTTTTCCCCCCAGCATTCCTGGGATATGCTTACCTATCACTGCATTGGAGATGGTGATTTTTAACCACATCCTGTCCCGAATTTCAAGGCCTGAGTCTGGGAGCTGCATAACCTTGACAATAGTAGCCATGTCACTCTTCACAGTTAAAGGAGATTCTTCTAATTCTAAAAGGAAGAGAGGTTACAGGCTGCTTTGAAATGAACCGAATCTGAAAAGACCTTCTCAGCTCCCCATTTGGATGAAACAAAGACACAGTTTTACCAACAGATGCAAAAAAAAAAAAAAAAAAAGACACAAAGGTTCCCAAATGCACCCTCATCCGTGGCATAAATTACAGCATTTGTACCAATTCTTCAGGTTTTGTGCTCTGTGCCACCAGTTTAGTCACTGAAATGCTCAGCCCCCACGTGCCTGCATTTCCCATTCCAGGGAAATCAGTTCTGGAATTCACACTGAGATTGGCAGGAAAGGAAATCCAGAGAGTCCTGTGACCCTCCCCTTCCATTTCACTTTGCCATGAACAGCCCTTCCCACCCAAGGGATCAGTGCAGAACTCTGTGGGACAAGGTTTTTTTTACTTGTTCTTTAACTTCTGGGTTAACTCTCAGAAATAACCCATCTGCATGGAGGAGGAGGACAACCCTGCCTCAATCAATATCCTCTTTTTTTCCTTTTCTTAAGACTTGGACATCAGCATTCTCGGGGAGAATTGAAATTAGAAATCTTCCATCATTTGGAGAAAGGCAAGTGGTTTCCTTCAAAAAAACACTTCCCAGGATCCTGGTGTTGGAGCCTTACAAGTGAACAAGTCACTCCACCCAGAACTACTTTGCCCTGCATCTTTCCTGTAGAACACTTATAAAAAAAGCTCCCAAATTCCTCCACAATCATCCCTGCTCCATTCCCATTTCACACTCCCAAGGGCAGAGCTGGATCCTCAGAGGCTTCACACTGTCCTGATGGATTTTTATACTAAAATCAGAATAACAGGGCTGACACTGACCCTGCTGAACTGAGGTTCCTACTGCAGGAATCGAATTCCTTTAGAAACTCCTTGCCTGCCCAGAGGGTGAATCTGGGTCCAGGAATCCACCAGCTTCCCTGTGTTCTGTGCAGAACTCACTTATCCTGCCATACATAAGACAACTAATTTTGGATACAGCACCCAGTCCTCCTTCCTGTCCCATCTCCCAGCCCCAGAAAATTCATGTTGGATGTGTCTGTGTTTGCAGTCCAGACCCTTCTCCAGCAGGAACTCAGAAACTCTCCTCTCCCCTCCCTTCTCCCCGTATCACCCACCTTTCAAAAGCACCAGGGAACCAATTTTGTCCTTTTCCAGCCACCCAGAATTTTGACAGAAGGTACAGCAAGCGTGAAACAATGAAAACTGAAAATGCTTCTTTCCACACATGCACTGCCAATAGGCATGAAAATACCTCAGAGCAGCTATGCATGCAGCTTCAATACTTACAAACTCTGAATAAACACTCAAATTTTGCTTTTGCTTTAAGTTAGTTTGGTTAGTGGCAAAAAGCAACATGTTCATTTGGGGAAAAAAAAATCAAAACCCAACAAACTAACATTCGAGTAAAGTATGTGGGGAGCAATAAATTGTATTTTCTTGGAGAACTGCACATAAAGAACAACACTGGCCAAATGGTCATCAGTGGTTTTTTCTAAGTTCTAGTCACTGGACAAATAAGGAAAATTCTAAGAGGCATCTAAAATGCTCCCAACTTTGGAGAGAACTCAGTGAACTGTGGGATGTTCACAGAGGTGCTCTCTGTGCCTGGGGCCCTGAGGTGCTGCTGCCCTGTTTGGGGCAGCTCACAGGGCTGGGCTGAGGGAAGGCTGGAGAGCAGAAGGCCACAAGAAAGCTCAGGGGCTACTCCACGTTTTCTTGCACTCCAGAAAGGAAATACTGGAAGTCACTGGCACAGAAATGAGAAGCTGTCTCCAGGAATGTGGTTCTGCTCCCAAATACCTTTATTTTCAACGTATGATTGAGAGGGTGGCTGTTCCCCACTTCCCAATCACAGCACCATAATCAAGGCACAGAATACATGGATCAAGAGGAATGCTGAGCACAGACTCTCGTTTGACAGCAACCAGCAGATACATTTGATTCCAGCAATCTGTAGTACCTGTAAGGCTGAAAACACATCTCAGGACAAAGCAGCCACCAGGGAAGGGGTTCACTTGCTTTCTGCTGCAGATGTATTTCCCCTCAGTGCTGCTGCCTGAGATCTAAAGGCACTGAGCTACCACACCTCCAAAAAACCCCTTCCCTTTTATTGCAGGAAATATGAGCTTATAAAACCTGAGACATTTTATAACCAACACCAACATTGGTCTTCAAAATCCTCAAAGTGTGGTTTTGAGTAAAAGAAAGGGGGAGTTAATATTCCTCAAACAAATATTGCCAAGATAAGGCACCGTGGCAGTTTCTTGGTCACGTGGATATGACTTAGTTTAGAGACTGCCACAGACAAACCAGGAAAGAAAGTTGAGCCCTAACCATAATAATTTCACATGGGACATTAAGCTTGTTTTTCCTTGTTCTATAAATTCTAAGAGTATAAAAAAGTATAAAACAAGGCCATGGAAACATCAGGGGAAGATTTCCTAAATGGCACACTACTAACGTTATTAACCAGTGACATCTATCTGAAGGAACTTATTTAAATTTATTTAAAACCTTAGTAAATACTTAAATTTATTAAACCCATTTCAATTTATTAAAGTTACTTCAATTTATTAAAGTCATTTCAATTTATCAAAGATATTTCAATTCATCAAAGTTATTTCAGTTTATCAAAGTTATTTCAATTTATCAAAGTTATTGCAATTTATTAAAGATATTACAATTTATCAAAGATATTGCAATTTATTAAAGATATTTCAATTCATCAAAGTTATTTCAATTTATTAAAGATATTTAAATTTATTAAAGTTATTGCAATTTATTAAAGATATTTCCTTTTATCAAAGTTATTTAAATTTATTAAAGATAGTTAAATTTATTAAAAATATTTCAATTTATTAAATATATTTAAATTTATTAAAGTTATTTAAATTTATTGAAAAACAGCCAAATGCAAGGAGGGAGCTCTCCCACTCCCCTGAGGGGGCAAAGCCGGAGGCCCAACTTGTATCTTTAAAATGGGGACCTTTCAAAAGGGACCACGAGCTACTCCTTCCTGAGGGTGAACCCTGACTGAATACTTTGTTAACCTTTAAAGGGAAAAAATAAAAAAAAAGGTTTTTCTGCTCCCCACAGGAATCCCAAGTGCAAGGCAAAGCATTCAGGGGCTGGGTGTGGTGTGGTGGCTGCCGCTCTCATCGTGCTCGTGGCCGGGGCGGGGTTGGGGCCCAGCAGGCCCCGGGCACCCCCCTGCCCTGGGCTGGCCTCAGGGTGACTTACTTTCCGACTCGGGAATTGAGCTTGTTAGTGAGGAGCTGGTAGATGTGGTGATGCTCATGGAGGGGCTCATACCGTAACGGGGGTACGCTCCCGTCATGGCCGTGGTATGAGAGATCCAGGCCGCGGGGTCGATCGGCCGCACCGGCTCAGCTGCGGGAGACGGGGAGAGAGAGACACAAGGGGGTCACACGAGGCACCAACACCTTCACAGCCCCAACACC